AGAGCTGTAAGGCCCCCACCAAGTTCAGTTCTGTGTTAGTTTTCTGTTTTATAAAAGTTTTAAGATGTTGAGAACTTAAGAGTTGCTCATAATTTAATTACAGGGAATAGCAAAGCGATTGGTAAGAGCTGCCATCGGTGAGGCTGCAAGGAAAAGAGAATTGAGATATGACAATGTAAGAAGAATTAAAAGGGGGGTAAGGCGCCATTTCCACGACGATATCACTGTAATAGTGATATTCCTAGATCATTCACACAACTTTCCTCAAATGCTAGTCTCAAGGATCAGAGCCTCTTTAGCTGCACTAATGTCCCTGTCGATATATTTTCAATGAACGAAGAAGCAGCAGATGGATCACTCCACACCTTCCCTTGAGAGAAATCGGGTGGCAAAAAATTTGCATCTGTTGTGTAAATCGAATGAGAAAATTTAAACGTAGGTGCAGCAGGCTGCGAGATTTTACAGGAAAGGTGGTGGCTTGTACATAGTTTGATGGCCAGATTGAAGGTGCTGTTGAATTCTCGGCGTTGAGCATTGACTTCATTTGCATCTCTCTCTCTCGTCAGTGTATAATTTGTTGTGATTTCCCACATTGTGTATATTACTGGGATTTATTTATAGAAGCTTAAATTTATCTTGACCTGCAATTCACAGTCAGGATAGTTTGATAAACTGGACGAGACTGATGCCGCTATGATGGTATTCGGAAAATGATTTATGCACTCATGTTTTCTAACACACCCCGTTTACTTTTGTATATTGATTCTCTTTTGATTTTTATATGATTTTTTATGCACTCTTTTGAAATCCTAATTGAATATTCATGGATTTTCACTCTTCTAAAATTCCTCCAAATTCCGATTGAATACCACGACTAAATTTAGGAATAAACATTGTGGTGTGCATGTGAGCCTAATTTGCACGGTCTTGTGTTCTAACTTTTCACGTTGCAATGAGCAATCAGTTTTTTCAAGCCAAACACAAAATGTGTCGTGTTTGAATATTTTCCATAATGATCAATACGACTAAATGATCAAAAAAGAAATCTTGACTGTCAGTGTAATCAAACACTCATAAGTGGTGGCGTCTCTCTTGATCCTATTTATCTTTGTCTTTGCTTCTCTGGGTGGCGGAGTTAGTCCTCTGCTTGTTGTTTGGCCTTGTGCCCTTCCTTTATATGAAGCTTTTCCTTTAACCAAAAAAAAAAAAAAAAAAAAAAAAAAAAAAAAAAAAAAAAAGTTATCATGTCCCCTTTATAGTGTTTCCCTTTTTTTGGCGACCTAAGCACATAGACTCATCATTTCACTCTTATAAAATTCATCAATTTTTCGAGATGAATTAATTCGACACTTGAATGTTGTAGTTGGTTAAAAAGAACCAACGAAAGATTAAGTGCATGGACATGGAAGTTGTTTTGTTTCAAGATTGACCTACCAAACTGATACTAATAGTCACGTGGTTTCTTCAACTTTTGTATGTGGTGCCAATGCGGCAGGTATTCCATGTGAACCACCGCCCCACCGCCCCACCGCCTTCAAAGTTTTCAAGAAAATACAAGACACTGTCACTGTGTCACACCACCAACCCCAACAAAACAAACAAGGAGTTGATACTAATTTGACGGGTATTAATTCCACTGATTTATTTCTCGACACATGTTACATGTGGCACTATGCCCATTGTTTATTTCTTTTCCTCTAAAAACATAGAATGATGATCCTCTTTTGGATCTTCTTTGTGATGATCTTAAGGATCCTCAAATCATGTCCGTTTATCGTATATCGTGCAGTTATAAATTATTTTAAATACTTTTATTTAAATTAAATATAAATAGTACCTGACGAAACTGACCGCATGATATACGTTAAGTGGAGACGATTTGAGAATCTCCAAGATCCTCATGAAGAGGATCCGGAGAGGATCCTCCTGGAAGAACATAGACCCTCTCACAAATTACTAGTAGTCACGTCGAAAAAAAAAAGTGAATTTACATGTATACTTAAAAGAATTAGATTGATTTATATTATCAATTGATCTTTTGTTGGAATTTTTATTTTTTTTATTGTATCAAAATATATTGTCTCGCATGTAAAGTTCAATGACTATACGTGTTACACATTACTTAGTATGTGTTGTTCACATATTAAGCTTAAAAATTTGTTATACATGATGAGACGTATTAACATATCAATCTCACACGTCACACCAGAAAAATAAGGAACCTTGCACGTTACATATGCTTATAAGAGTTAGATTACTACCTATGTTGCTAGATTATTTCTCATATCATCAATTAATTTTATATTAGAACCTCAACTTTTTTAAAGTTAATTAATGGATCGAATGATTGTTATTGGAATATATAACTTAGGTTATTTCGTTATAGTCTAACAACACAAGTTTCACATGGCAATTATTTAAAAAATACAAGCATATAACATTTAGGAAGGATCCAGAGTACCACCTCTACAAATAGAATAGGGAGCAAAAGGGGGGGGAAACGCAATCAGTGTAGCTGTGGCAACGAGTTTCCAAGTGTAATGACTAAAACGAAAATGATGTTAAGTTTTATGCACTAAACATGTTAGTAAAGAAAAAAAAAATTGACTTGGCCCTTATAGTGGTGCGGTGAAGGTGTGGGTGGTGGCATTGACAATGGTGGTAGAGAGCGGTGGTATGGAAATGGCGGTGGTGCCTGTGGAGGTGATGGTGGCTCAGACGATGAAGTTGGTCGTGTCTAAGGTGGTAGTAGCCTAAGCAAGTCATCACATATGATGCAATGAGCGGGGTTTGGTGGTGCGAGTCGAAATGCTACAATGTTGGTGGGGTGGCGTTGGTGGTGGTTATGGTGATAATATTGGTAGTGAAGTAGTGGTGGTTGTCGTGTTGGTGGTGGTAATGAGGGTAGCGATTAATATGAATGAATTTGATTATAAGCACAAAGTTTGGTGAACTTGTCATAAACTATTTTGAGGACTATCAAGTATTTTTATTTCTTAATGTGGTTTGATTTAAATTAGGTTATCTATTTTCATTTATTACGAACAACTCCAACTTTGCTCAACTTTAATGCTAATTCAAATAATTGTGTTGGATGTAAGTGGTAAATTGCTCTGGTAGTTAGAGCGTTCATTTTTCAACCCGTGGCATCTCATGTTCAGACCATTTCCTTAATATAAGTTAAAGTAGTTATATCATTTGTATTAAAAAAAAGTTATTTGAATTATCCGAAGTATTTTGAGAGAGGAGATATTGGAAACTTAGGGAAACCAACAACTTGAGAAACAGAGAAGACTCGAAGACGACAAGGGAGAAAGCAGATGGGTGTTTATGTTTTTAGCAAGTTTTAGAGCTCCGGTCTAAACAATATCGGCCCTTTGGAGTGAATAGGCTGGACTATTTAAATAATTTGGCGACTATTTTTTATACAAGTACCAAACACTCAGGTCCGTATTAATTAATCATATCCCATCCTTTATATAAGTATATCTTTACATGGGGACTTATGACTCAAGTGATAAGGATGTTTTATTTTTGGAAAAATTAGGTTCACATCCTTCTTTTTATTACTCCATTGATTAAAATCCTATTCATTTTCAATTTTTGATCAAGGTCCTTGGGTGTTAATAACATCATTAATTATTTGAATAATAAAATATATTTTTTTAAAATATATTTATTTAGTGTTAAAAATGTTACAATTAGTATATTTATATTTATGGCTACATTTTTTATCATATATTTTTATTTTTAGTTTGTACCTATTTTTAATTTGCAAATATTTTTTAATTTGTACCAATTTTCTTTTCATTTTTAATTTGTACCCATATATTAGTTTCTTTTTGTGCCCAATTTTTTAAAGTTTTATTTGTGTTTGTACTCATGTGTATACCGTCACGTGACATTGTATATTTAATCAATGATAGAAAAATTACATATAGTATATTTATGTTTTATGCCTAAACCTTGTATCTTATATTTATATTTTTAGTTTGTACCCACTTTTAATTTGCAACATTTTTTTTTTAAATTTGTAGTATTTTCTTTTTAGTTTTATTTTGTACCTATGTATTAATTTCTTTTAGCACCTATATTTTTTAAAAATTCATTTGTACTCATAATTTTTTAATCTTTTATTTGTACCCTAATTTATTTATAATGTACCAATTCTTCTTTATTAATGTATCACTTTGTTATATGTGAAATGTACCTATTTTTTATGTAAAATGTACCAATTTTTTTAACACTATGGATACATTCTTTTGCCATTTATTATTTCTTATTTTTACATAGTTTTTATCCGTTTATTAAATCAAAATGTTTGAATTTTTTTTGGTAACCGTTTCTAATAGTATTATAAAGAGGGATTTTAAATTTATAGGATTATAAATCTCATAAAATATCAAACAATTAATGTCAAAACTATAAAAATATAAATATTAATAGTAATATAATGAGGTGTACAAAGTCAAGGGACTTTGATCAAAGTTTGAATACTATTAAGGTTTTAATCAAAGAATGTTAAGGATTAGAGACCGTATCCAAATTATCCTTTTATTTTTTTTTTGGGTACAACGATATATTTTACATTAAGGGGAAAAAGTTCGGCTAATCCACATAATTGGCAACCTAATTTGGTATCGAATTTTCCATATACGAGATTCGAACCTAAAGCCTTTCACTTACAAGTGAAGATAAATACCACCAGACAGTAGTACTGAGTGGCAAGTGATAAAAGATGGTGCTTGCAACGTGTTCCTAAATGGGCCTGAATAGCACAGTCCAAAGAAGAAACGAACCCAATTCAAAGTCCGGCCCACCAGACATGGAGAGGTTTGGTTTTGGATTCTTGCCGTACAAAATGTCAAACAAAGTGCTAAAGCTCAACCAATCACGTGCAATCTCTAAACACGTGCGAATCGCACGTGTAGGCCTGCAAGCCCATCTAGTTATGATTCGCCCCATTCTCAGTTTTCAACTTTCAGCTTTTTCCTATTACCAACTTTACCCCTATCCCTCTTTAACCCCCACCTCGCCACTTTCCTCTTGCTTGAGCCGTTGAAGCGAAGAAAGGAACACACAGAAAACGCGAGACTTCCCGCGACATCCCGATCCCTCACTCCGGCGACTCAGAATGGCGGCCGCCGTCGCCGAGAGGGCGGAGCTTGCCAAGCTCTGCACCTCACGTGACTGGTCCAAGGCCATCCGAGTCATCGACTCCCTCCTCTCCCAGTCTTCTTCCATCCAAGACATCTGGTCCGCCGCGCTCTCCATCTCTCTCACTTGCTTGTTCGATTCCTGCTGATCTTCCATTTGTTAAATGAATTGTGTTCTGATCGATTTTGTGTGGCTCTGAATGTTGGTGTATTGCAGCAACAGAGCATTCTGTTACAGCCAATTGGAGCTCCACAAGCACGTGGTTAAGGACTGCGATAGGGCGCTTCAGCTGGACCCTGCGCTTCTTCAAGCTTACATCCTCAAAGGTTTTTCTCCGATCATTTTCGTCGAATTCCTGCTCTTATTTGACTTGGAATGTTTATTTCGTTTTCTTTAAATTTGATATAATTGGAGTAATTAGCTGATAATTATAGCTCCCATTATGAAACTGTTAAGCTACTCGTAATTAGAGGTTTTGGAATAGATTTTAGGTCGTCTTAATTTGAATTTTAGGTGTTACTGGAATATGTGATTGAGTGGTTAGTTGATGCCGAGTGAAAGGTTCAAAAAATTTGTGAGCATGATATTAAGGAATCAAAAGTGCATTATTTGGATGACTTGCGGTGGTGTTGATTGTATCGGTCCTTGTATATACCAGATTTTTTTTGGTATGATCTAGAAGTTCCTTAACGATGATTTATTGAAGGTTCTGTGAAAATTATAAATTAAAGTATTTTTTATAGTTGGTTATTCCAATAATTAGGAGCTTACTCCCTGTCATTATATACGAAAGTACATTTACGAGAATGCACACTTTTTCGAATAATTAATATACACGCATACACACTGAAACAGGACAGTTAATTTTGTTAGAATTATGTTGCTCTTTGTGATGCATGCATAATTGTGCACTCTTGGTGTGCACGTAGTCGATTGTTTTATGATTCGAGAAGTACTCTTGGGGCTCAGGCATCTTTGCGATCTTAGAATTGATTTTTGTGCTATAGGTCGTGCATTTTCTGCTTTGGGAAGGAAAGAGGATGCTTTTTTGGTTTGGGAGCAAGGCTATGAACATGCCTTGCGTCAGTGTGCAGATCTGAAGCAGTTGCTAGAACTGGGAGAGCTTTTAACAATTGCAAAGAAGGACGAAAGTAATGGAGATGATAACCAAGCAAAAGAGTCAGCATCATCTAAACTTGTGTCCGAAGCAAGCCCGCATATTAATGGGAAATCTGGTGAGACTTACAAGAATCACAATAAATTGAGTGGTGAATCAAAATTATGCTGTGAATCAACAGTTACCTCTGCGGTCCACGGCAAGTTTAATGGAAATGGAAATTTTGTCGCATCCAAGGGAATTGGTGATAAAGCCGGAGGGAGTAAGAAGTTTGATAGCCAAATCAATGGGAATCATGATATTAATGATAAATTACATTCTGAATCATGCAATGATTTAAGTGATACATGCAGTAAGTTACCTATGATTTGTAGCAAATCAAGTGATTTAACAGAAACTCCTCCCACACCCCCTAAATTAAGTACTAAATCTGATATACGCCATGAAATTGGTGAGGAGTCCAAGAGAAATAAAAAGTTCTCTGTTGCTAGACTTTCAAAGACCAAGTCAATAAGTGTGGATTTTCGATTATCAAGAGGTATAGCAGAGGTATGTTATAATTCTTTATTTGGTAACAGTTTTTCTGTTTGAGCACAGTTATTGTTTGTGTTGAACTTCCAGCGTTTTAAACTTTGTATTCTGTTTAACATATAATGCAACTTTTTTAAGGTTAATGAAGGGAAGTATGCTCATGCCATATCTATATTTGACAAGGTAAAGCTTCACTCCATGCCAGTCATCCTGAACAGTTTCTGGCAATTTCAGTTTGTCTTCCCATCTATACTTTTCCTTGATTGTCTTTCACTTCCATTTGTTTTCTTTTCCCTTCTTTGTTTCTTGTGTGTGGATAGGGAACAAGTCTAGAGGGTCATTGTTCTATGGGGCCATTAGCAAGTTTTATGAGCATTTGCATTTTTGTATAATTATATGCACAGATATTGAAAGAGGATCCTAACTATCCAGAGGCACTAATAGGGAGAGGGACAGCCTATGCATTCCAACGAGAACTTGAGGCTGCAATAGCTGATTTTACAAAGGTATTTGACTAAATAATATCTGACAAAAGAATAAAAATATTTTGGCTTGACCTTCACATGCAAGTAGTCGATCTGATTATGTTGTTCAGGCCATGGAATCAAATCCATCAGCTTGTGAGGCATGGAAACGGAGAGGACAAGCACGAGCTGCCATGGGAGAATTTGTTGAGGTGGTTATGCTATCTCAGTCTTTCCATGTAACTGTATCATCTTTGAATTTAACTAATGAATATTTTTTGGTTGTGGTTGTACACTGTTCCTCCGACTTAATTATTGGTAAAATAATAAGAAAAATTCTTTTGTTATGACACAAGAACTGCCTTGCATATTTGTTTCCTCATGATTCCAGGCCATTGAAGATTTGTCCAAGGCATTAGAGTTTGAACCAAATTCAGCCGACATTTTGCACGAAAGGGGTAACTAGCTCAAACCCCATATCTTTTCATTAATCATCATAACTCAGGACTCAGTTTCAAAGGCTATAACATAATGCCTTCATCTTTTATATGAACAAAATGAAATTGTATTACAGGAATTTCAGTATTTCATTTTGTCTTTCCTGATGCAATAAGTGCTGTTAGGATGTTAAGAATGACGCAGGCAAACAATTTTCTAGAGAGAGTGATAGTCTAATAGCTGTACAAGCTTGATTTTGAAGTTTGTGAGGTCTTTAATTATATTAAATGAAAATTTATATGCAACTGACAGAGACTATTGCATGATAACCTCAGTACTATGTGTAACAAATGAAACTTATATGCAAGTGACAGATACTATTGCATGATAATTTCAATACTATAACACAATGGCCGATAGAAGTACACATATTGGGAAATCTATTCACTGTATTTTTATTAGTAGCCAAAAGAACGTTTTTTTAATTTTTTTTTATAGACAGATAATGACAGTAGCATTTTAATTTTTGTAGGAATTGCCAACTTCAAGTTCAAGGACTTCTACACTGCCGTTGAAGACCTATCTGCATGCGTGAAACTTGACAAGGATAATGCATCTGCATACACATATTTGGTGAGTCTTCAAGATTCGGTTTCCTGTTGATTCTTTAGTCTAGTGATTGGTCACACTGGTTTCCCTGTATTATATCTTGTCCTATTGAGTCTTGACTGAACTGAAATTGACTTCCCTAGGGTTTGGCATTGTCCTCTATTGGTGAATATAAAAAAGCTGAGGAGGCACATTTGAAAGCAATTCAACTGGATCAGAATTTTCTTGAGGCATGGTTGCAGCTAACCCAGGTATCCATGACAAATTATTTTGTTTACCAAGGCCAAATGCATTTCCATTAATGTTTGAGAAAGCTTTGCATGCGTCTGGTTCATTTCATTGCATATCCTCATTCCAATGGCATCATTCATAGTGAAAGGCAGGGTCCCATGGAATCAATATGGGACACTGTCTCTGTTAGTCGACATAGTACTCATATAATACACTAGAATCTAAGGATAGGCTCATAAGTCATAACTGATGCTTGGTAGCAGATTTTTAGTTCACTCCTATAGAGCCAATAGGACTTGCCATTTCAGATGATACAGATGATTACAAGTTCTTCAAATACTTCATAAGTTCTCATGGCAAACCCAAGGGCTTTGGGAATGTCTGCAGAAAGCTACTTTTGAATTGAAAATGAGCAAAGCATTTTCTGTCTGAACTAAGCCATTCGTGTTTGTAATGTTTATGTTGACCTTCAGGTCCCTGGTGTTAACACTGGAGATTTTTTCTGTGTCTAAATCTGAAAGGTTTGCCAAAGCATATCATTTGCGTGGACTACTGCTCCATGGGATGGGATGGGAGAACACAAAATTTTTTGGTTGACAATGTTTGTCCATTAACCAATTACCATGTTGGGTTCATGAAGCATGAATGAACACTCTTTGATCATATGTAGATGATTTAATAAATTGTGATCATCACTTGCAAGGACGATATTTTCATTTGATATAACAGGACATTTTCCAAGGATCCAATGCTTTTTCTTGATTAAAGGAGGGGGAAGGGCGTCAGGTAGTCGACAGCCGGCACTCCATGATCACGTTTCGAATCCTTATGAAAATGAAATCCAGAACAAAATAGCGCTAAGCTAAGGGGCGTCACCCGTAAGTGGCGCGCTGTGCGGCCCGAGCACAGTGATAAGTGAGCAAGGGTCGCTGTATCTCCATCGGCACCGATGCAGTGCAAATGAGCAAGGGGGCCATAGAAACTTCTTTCGAACGACTCCACTCAAAGTTGTTTGGGAGCATATGCTCCTATCAACTTTACCCGGGACACACAAAAGAAGTACTTTGATCCTATTAGACGGGGGAGGGTGAAGAAGCTAGGACAGAAGAGGTAGAGTTCAAGAGAGCAAAATGCGTTTAGGAACGTGGAATATAGGAACCTTAAGGGAAAATCTATGGATGGAAGTAGTGGAAGTTATGGTGAGAGAGAGGATAAATATTATGTGCCTCACAAGAAACTAAGTGGGTTGGTAGTAAGGCAAAGGATCTAGAAAACTCAGGGTTGGAAAAAGGTATTGGTATTCGGGGAACAAAAACGGTTGTTTCAATCAGGACAATTGTAACAAGAAAGAACGAGCGGGGGTTGGCATCATCGTGGACACAAAAGAACCTTGGTACAAAAGGAGATGGTCAAGAGAGCAAAATTTTAGGAACGTGGAATAGTAGGAACCTAACAGGAAGGGTGGGAGGTAGAATAATGGCAATCAAGGGACACATAGACGAGAAACGGTGTTGGCATCATCGTGGACAAAACCTTGGTACAAGATGTTGTAGATGTCAAGAGGGTAGGAGATAGAATCATGGCAATCAAGATTGTAATAGGACAAGAACTTATCAATGTGATTAGTGCGTACGCACCTCAAGTAGGGTTGGATACGAGGTCGAAGGAGAAATTTTGGGAAGATCTTGGAGACTTGGTGCAAGGAATTGCTCAGACGGAGAAGTTATTTATAGGAGGAGATTTAAATGGACACGTGGGCAGGGAGACAGGCAACTATGGAGGTTTTCATGGTGGCCATGGTTTTGGGGAGAGAAACGAGGATGGGGAAGCTATCTTGGATTTTGCAATGGCATTTGATCTCTTCTTAGCCAACACCTTCTTTAAGAAGAGAGAAGAACATGTGATCACCTACAAGAGTGGGTCGTCAAAAACACAAATAGATTTTCTTCTAATGAGGAAAGGGGATCGTATAACTTGTAAGGATTGCAAAGTTATACCAGGAGAGAGCGTGGCTAATCAACATCGCTTGTTGGTGATGGATGTACATATCAAAAGAGTGAGACAAAAGAACAAGACTTGGAAGTGCCCAAGGACTAGATGGTGGAATCTAAAAGAAGAAAAACAAGCCATTTTCAAAGAGAAAGTAATCACCCAGTGTGTGTGGGATAGAGAGGGGGAAGCTAGCCAAATGTGGGATTCCATGGCTAGTTGTATCCGAAAAGTAGCAAAAGAGGTATTAGGAGAGTCCAAGGGCTTTGCCCCACACCAAAAGGAATCTTGGTGGTGGAATGAGGAGGTACAAACAAAGGTGAAGGCTAAGAAGGAATGTTGTAAAGCCTTATACAAGGATAGGACTGATGAAAATGGTGAAAGGTATAGAAAAGCGAAGCAAGAGGCGAAGAAAGCTGTGAGAGAAGCTAAGTTAGCGGCTTACGACGATATGTATAAACGACTAGATACCAAAGAAGGAGAGTTGGATATCTATAAACTAGCTAGAGCAAGGGAAAAGAAGACAAGGGACCTAAACCAAGTGAGGTGCATCAAGGATGAGGATGGAAAAGTTCTTGCTACAGAGAGAATGCGGTTAAAGACAGATGGAGAGGTTATTTTCATAATCTTTTCAATGAAGGACATGAAAGGAGTGCTTCTTTAGGGGAGTTGAGTAACTCAGAAGAGTGTAGAAACTACTCTTTTTATCGTCGAATCCGGAAGGAAGAAGTGGTTGTAGCTTTGAAGAAGATGAAGCAAAGAAAAGCAATAGGCCCAGACGAGATACCAATCGAAGTGTGGAAAGTTTTGGGAGAGACAGGTATAACATGGCTCACTGATCTTTTTCAATAGGATTTTGAAAACGAAGAAGATGCCAAATGAGTGGCGAACAAGCACTTTAGGTGCCTATCTACAAGAATAAGGGCGACGTACAAAATTGCATGAACTATAGGGGTATTAAGCTAATGAGTCATACAATGAAGCTTTGGGAGAGAGTCATTGAGCATAGATTGAGGCAAGAGACACGGGTTTCGGACAACCAATTCGGACAACCAATTCGGGTTCATGCCAGGGCGCTCAACCATGGAGGCAATCTATCTCTTACGAAGATTGATGGAAAGATATAGAGATGGGAAAAAGGATTTACACATGGTCTTTATAGATTTGGAGAAAAGCGTATGATAGGGTCCCAAGAGACATTCTTTGGAGGATTTTAGAGAAGAAAGGAGTACGAGTAGCATATATCCAAGCTATAAAGGATATGTATGAAGGAGCAAAGACTGCCGTAAGAACTCATGAAGGACAAACCGAAAGCTTTCCCATAACTGTAGGATTACATCAAGGCTCATCCTTAAGTCCTTACCTTTTTGCGTTGGTAATGGATGAGTTAACAGGACATATTCAAGATGATATTCCTTGGTGTATGCTTTTCGCAGACGATATAGTGTTGATAGATGAAACTCAGGAAGGGGTAAATGCAAAGCTTAACCTTTGGAGAGAAGTGTTGGAATCTAAAGGTCTTCGCCTAAGCCGATCAAAGACAGAATATATGGAGTGCAAGTTCAGTGCAAATGGAGGCCAAAACGAGTTAGGGGTGAGGATCGGAGATCAAGAAATACCAAAGAGCGATCCGTTTTCGTTACCTAGGATCTATCTTGCAAAAGAACGGAGAATTAGATGGAGATCTCAACCATAGAATACAAGCTGGATGGATGAAGTGGAAGAGTGCATCCGGCGTGTTGTGTGACCGCCGTATGCCACTGAAGCTCAAGGGAAAATTTTATAGGACGGCAATAAGGCCGGCGATGCTGTATGGCACAGAATGTTGGGCGGTGAAGCATCAACACGTACACAAAATGGGTGTAGCGGAGATGAGGAATGCTTCGTTGGATGTGTGGGCACACGAGAAAGGATAAGATTAGGAATGAGGATATCCGGGGTAAAGTAGGAGTAGCCGAAATTGAAGGAAAGATGAGAGAAAATCGGTTACGGTGGTTTGGACATGTGCAAAGAAGGCCTACTGACGCTCCGATTAGAAGATGCGACTATGGGACAGAGGTTCAGGGCCGAAGGGGTAGAGGAAGACCTAAGGAAAACTTTGGAAGAGACTCTAAGAAAAGACTTAGAGTACTTGGATCTAACGAAGGACATGACACAGGACGAGCACAATGGCGTTCTAAGATTCATGTAGCCGATCCCACTCAGTGACTTGGATTTTCCAAGTCTCCAACCGAGAAGTTTTCCTCACTCAGGAAATTAAGGGAACACTACCTCAACCTACATGCTCCACTCACAAAGCTCCAACAAAAGAAAATTCAAAGAACTTAGCGAAGAAGGCTTTGGTGTATTTAACACAATACGTTGAAATGAAGGAAAGCTTATTTATTGATATCCCCGATAAGCTACAAATATGTACATATACATGAGTCAAAATAAACAAACAAGAGAGAGCCTTCACAAAGGTTGCTTAGGAGAAGTCTCAGCAGTCGGTAGAGCCCCAGAAAGAGAAGGCACCGGAGGGGGATCATTCGGAGCCTCAGTACTGGACAGAACCCTAGAAGGAGGAGGCATCAGAGGTTGATCATTTGGAGCTTCATTACGCGGTACAGCCCCAGAAGACGAAGGCAATAAATGCCTTTGGAACAAACCCACAAATCTCTGATGATCAAGTAAAACCTGACCATCAGATTCCTTCATCTGGTCCAAGCTTCCTCTTCATGTTTGTAGCATAGTCATGTGCGAGACCGGTGCAACTGTTTATTCTCATGCTTGAGCCCTCTAATCTCCTGTTTGAGACTCATCACTTCAGCCGCCAATGATGATTCAACTTGGCGGGTTCGAGCAAATAGGCGTTGGGCCATATTAGACACAGAACCTGCACACTGAACACTGAGAGCCAGAGAATCCTTAACAGCTAACTCATCAGATCCGTTTGGAAAGTAGTCTGTTATCTTTGGGAGTGAGAAGGTTCCTGGCCACCACCGCAGCGGTCATATCATTCTTCATCATCACGGAATCCCCAACGGTAAGAGGACCAGTAGGGGAGACGAAGGATGGGCGCCATATGTTGTCTGGAGAAGGCGGGGCTGCCTCTTCAACAAGGTTCAAGTCAAAACGACGGTCGGTCGGAGGGGCCAGGGGCCAGACATTTTCAAAGGTGTTGAAGAGAGAAGAGGTCGAACAAATCAAGATCTTAGAAGTGCAAAGAATGGAGCTTCTACTGGTGGAGATTCAAGTGTGCTTTGGAACTTAATGCCAGCCCCTATAAAAATCTGCACTCGACGGAGCTTCAGAAATCGAAGAGGCGCCTGCTCAGAAATCGAAGAGGCGTTTGCTTTCTCAAAAGCTGGGCTGCTCAGAGACCACGAGGGTCGATCTCAGAAATCGAAGAGGCGTCTTGCTTTCTCAAAAGTTGGGCTGCTCAAAGACCACGAAGGCCGATCTCAGAAATCGAAGAGGCGCTTGCTTTCTCAAAAGCTGGGCTGCTCAGAGACCACGAGGGCCGATCTCAGAAATCGAAGAGGCACCTACTTTTTCCAGCCTTGTCAGCACCTGTCACACGCACACTCAGCTTTGCGGAAATTATGGGCATTCTGTCGAAGACTTCTGGTGAAGTAGAAAAGCACATGAATCTTACTGTTCAATCACCCACTTCCCACACGCAACAGTAGCTCATGGTGTATCCACAGATAACTTTGCCAAAGTTCTCTGCCAAAGTTGAGCACGTGAAGCTTGCAGCTTCCCACTACATCGCTCTGACCAAGAAGGGTAAAAGAATAGCAAAGAAACAGCACTAACAAAGTTTAGACACATAAATTTTGAAGGTCTAGCTACCCCATATTATTACCCACAAGGGTAAAGGAACAGTACACTGCTGGATAATTGGAAAGTCCCTGTGTGTCAACCTCTGTGCTTCGTGGCAAGGTAGACTAGCAAACATGCCCAACCTTTACTCACATTCGAGAAAACACTCCCAACAAGATTGCTTGCTCCAAAATCGAAGAGGCACCGCCCTCCGAATCTCGAGAGCCAGACTCCCAACATGATTACCTTCTCAAAAATCGAAGAGACACCGCTCTCCGAATCTCGAGAGCCAGACCCCCAGCAGGATTGCTTTCTCAAAAATCGAAGAGACATCGTTCTCCGAATCTCGAGAGCCAGATCCCTGATAGGATTGCTTGTTCGAAAACCGAAGAGGCAACACTTTCCCAACTACAAGAGCCGGATCTCCTTGGATAAAGCTGTCTGTAATCTTCACACGCAACATCAGCTTTCCACATACCACAGACCACTTTTTCAAAGTGCTCTGACAGGGTAAAGGAATAGCATTACTACTTGTTGTTAAGGGAGACTCCTATATATGTCAACCTCCATCCCCAACGGACAGGCAGACCTGCAAAAATGCTCAACCCTTCCTCATATATGAGAGGGCACTCTCAACGAAGCCTTTCGAAATATTCAGCTTTCTTTCCCTCCGATAATACCTCTGCAAACAAGTTATACTAGAGCAAGAATATCTCATATCATCAGGGTTAAAAGCAAGAGTATCCCATATCATGCTTTTTCCCTGTCTTTTCCTTTGGCCTTGTTCTTACCTGCAAGACAAGGAGAAAGAGAGCAATCAGTCAGCACTTGGAATCAAGCTTCCAGCCAGGAACTGACTGCCTGGAACCCCTTACTTACCTGGCATTGCTCTCGAGTACTCATCTTCAACATCTTATGCTTCCAGGGAAGATACCGCATCTGCCTGAGGAACAGATAGGGCAAGTGAGAAGGATACAAGGAAGCATGTGGAGACAAGCGTAACAGCACACGTGCCGATACATCCATTACTCTGTCAAAGCAAAAGTATCCCATATCAGCAGGGTCGAACGTACTCTAGATTTGATGGACTTGTTTTGACCCTCAAATTCTTCAGTCGGCCTTATACTCTGGAGGAAACCAGAAAACCCTCCAGCTCAGTTCAAGAATAAGCCTGTGGAAAGTTACTTCTTCAAAAGCAAAAGTATCCCATATATCATCTCTTCTCATTTTTTCTTCTCTTTATCCTTCATGCTGCCTGCAAGATAGGGAGAATGTGAACAATCAGCCGGAGCTCTGATTGCTTACCTTGTCTGTCACCTCTTTCAGCAAATCCCCTAGCTCGGCGAACTTGGGGACTCCTACTACATGGTTTGTATCGCGCTTGACCAAGCCTGAAACTACAAGTAAGCTTCAAGTGAAATTGATACATTACCTTGTGCATCTCCACCAGTTAAAGATACCACCCCTGGATGGAGGAAGAGTACTTCCAGAGAAGATGCCACATCTACCTATGAGACAGATAAGGCAAGTCAAGACGATACCACATTCCGATACTTAGAAGTTTCGTGATTACGAGATCATTCTCCCACAATATTTCCTAAATGTCATTTGTACTAAATCATTCACCTTGTACTCACTAAAGGAAAGCTTGAACCTATGTACTTGTGTAAACCCTTCACAATTAATGAGAACTCCTCTATTCCGTGGACGTAGCCAATCTGGGTGAACCACGTACATCTTGTGTTTGCTTTCCTATCTCTATCCATTTATATACTTATCCACACTAATGATCGGAGCAATCTAGCGAAGATCACAAAAAGCGACCGTTTTCGCTACCTAGGATATATCGTGCAAGAGAACGGAGAATTAGATGAGATCTCAACCATAGAATAGAAGTTGGATAGATGAAGTGTAAGAGTGCATCCGGCGTGGTTGTGTAACCGTCGTAGGCCACTGAAGCTCAAGGGAAAATTTTATAGGACGGCAATAAGGCCAGCGATGTTGTATGGCACAGAATGTTGGGCGGTGAAGCATCAACACGTACACAAAATGGGTGTGGCGGAGACGAGGATGCTTCGTGGGATGTGTGGGCACACAAGAAATGATAAGATTGGAAATGAGGATATTCGAGGTAAAGTAGGAGTGGCCGAAATTGAAGGAAAGATGAGAGAAAATCGGTTCCGGTGATTTGGACATGTGCAAAGAAGGCCTACTGACGCTCCGGTTCGAAGATGTGACTACGGGACAGAGGTTCAGGGCCAAAGGGGTAGAGGAAGACCTAGGAAAACTTTGGAAGAGACTCTAAGAAAAGACTTAGAGTACTTGGTTCTAACGGAGGACATGACACAAAACCGAGCGCAATGGCGTTCTAGGATTCATATAGCCGACCCCACTTAGTGGGAAAAGGCTTTGTTGTTGTTGTTGTTGTTGTTGTTGTATTATTTTTTCTTTTTTGTGGTGGGGCACTATACTCTTGGTTTTCTAGTTTCCATACATATTGGGTGTATTAAGTATTATGTTAAGGATGATGACATTTGACCATATTGATAGATGAAAAAGTTGCCAATGTTGCTTGGAGTTGCCTGACTAAATTTGTGTTATCTTGTTAGTGAAATCATACCCTTTGAAATAGTCTGTAATTTATTGCTGGATTCTATCTTGCAGCAAGGCTATTAAGGATTTGTCAACTGGTTTGAGCATTGAGAGTGCCAATATTGAGTGCTTGTATTTGCGGGCATCCTGCTACCATGCCCTTGGAGAATATGGACATGCGGTATTAGAAGTTATTTCTTTGATTGGTTTGGAATATCAGCTTCATATTTATTCATGATTCAGTTATGTACTGGTCACAGGTCAAGGACTACGACGCTGTGCTCGATTTGGAGCTAGACTCAATGGAGAAGTTTGTGTTGCAATGCCTTGCTTTTTATCAGGTTTAATTGATCTGGAATAATATGGCTTATTTGATGTTGATATTCTTGCACTTGCATTGATATTTGTCTGCTTGTAAGAACTATGTAAGTGCTGATGTGCAAAGAGTCAGATTCATAGTGTGCACTCTGTAACTTTTGGTGTGCAGTTCCATGTTCTAGCATATATCTTTGATGAACCTTTGACACTTTGCTCCATTGCATTTTATTTTGTTATTTCAGATACATTGAATGAAACAGTAGTATCCCTTTCATGAGTGAAAACGTATGCATGATTGATAAATCACAATACCACACAAGGGGAACTGATGACTGACGATGGCCTTATTTGAACTCAAACTATTCATTGCTTACATGTTAAAACTATTAACTTTGTTATTTTGTTTTGTTTCCAGAAAGAGGTTGCTCTATACACAGCATCAAGAATCAACAGTGAATTTTGCTGGTTTGATATTGATGGAGATATTGATTCACTTTTCAAGGTATTATCTCTTGAGAATTATATTTGGTCTTGATTCTCAGTTCATTGTGATAATTTTGCATCTACTTTTTGTCATACCATTTCAGCAGGTGCATGCCTCTCAATTCTCAAATCATAAACTTTACAATGTGTGACACAGTTATACTTCAAATAACATGCATTATTGACATACTGTAAACAATAACGCAAAAGGCATCAAGTATACAATGTCATCGGAGATATATAAAATATACAAAGGACCTATTCCCTTATCCTAGTCCTTTAAACAACTAATTGTGAAATTGAAGCTGAAATATGAAATTCTCAAGATCGTCTATTTTCCACTGCAAAGAGGCTATAAAGCCAACCATGTTAAAAGTTATTAATTCAAAAAGAACTCAAACTATAACTTTAATGGCATGTTTGGATTAGGGTCTTCAAAGTAACATGGAACTTGGGCTATATTTGGTAGGATGAAATGCAGCAATTAGATAGAGGAAGAAAATAACTAGATCCAGTACATTTGAGAAAACTTCGAATTTTGAAATGACACCTTTCTAGGTGTCATTTGTAAGTCCTTTTTTTGGTCTCTTTGTGGTGTGCTAGAAGAAGCTTTGTAATGTGCTTGAGTAGGTCATTGGTAGTCTTCTTGTCTTGCATTTTTAACAATTGAGTCTTATGTTCCTTGGAACTTTAATGTCCTCAATCCAAATGCACTTTAATAGTCATGGTTTTCAAAGAGGACCCTAAAAACTTCTTTTTCTTTTGGCTATAATGTTCAACCATCTTTTCCCAAATACAGGGTAAAGCACAGCCTCTTATAAATCAATATGCAAAAGGAACATTAACCAATTGCTCCAAATTCTCCTACATTATGTTTATTGTTTGTTTAATATCAAATATCCAGGAGTACTGGTGCAAGAGATTGCACCCTAAGAATGTATGCGAAAAGGTCTTTCGACAACCTCCCCTGCGTGAATCTTTGAAGAAGGGCAAGGTTAGAAAGCAAGATTTTTCAGTTACAAAGCAGAAGGCTGCTCTTCTGCAAGCTGCTGATTCAATTGGAAGGAAAATCCAATATGACTGTCCTGGCTTCTTACCGAATCGACGTCAGGTGATTTGATTAACTTTGAAGTTTGTCTACAATTATTGATGTGGCTTCTTAATTGTATTTTTTTTCTTTCCATTTTTTCGAGTTTCAACTTTTTATCATTTTAAGTAAACATATTGCCTGAGGAATAGTTGCACCTCTAGTTTTTCCCCTAAAATTCAACAACCTGGATCAGTTAGATTCATTTGAAGCTGCAGATGTTGCAATGCATTCAAGCCCCATGATATTTCTCCTCTCTCATACCTAGATGCTAAATGGTATATCATCTGTTAAAAAATTGCTCAGTTGAAATATTTGCAAAACATTTCACCAGAGGTGCACATCAAGAACAGTTTCACTATTACCTGAAATTTCTTTTACGTGACCCATTTTATCCGCTTCATTGTCCCAAACACAAATTGATGAATAGAAGTGACCATGCTTGTGTTGGGTAATCTGAGAATTTACTTTTATATTTGAGCCAGTTTAAAGACAAGAATTAACTTTTCTGTTCCAAATAAGTTTTGAAAAAGGAGCTAAAATCTGTACTTGACTGTGAGAACCGTTAATTTTGACCTATTGTGTTGGTGTAGCCAAGTTAAATTTAACTTGTGCACTTTCCATATTTTTGTAAAGAAGAAAACAAGTAAACTTTTTCCACATTTTTTTTATACTTTTTTCGTACGGGTTGTTATTATTACGTTGTGGCTTTTGGCATTCTTCTTTTGACTCATTTTGCGCTTTCAACTCTACATGCATAGGATATATAATATATTTCATTGTTTCTTCTAGTTTTCCTTGCCATGAAGTGTTTTGAATTAATCAACCAATAATTTTATTTTCTCATATCCTATGTCTACCAGCATCGTATGGCAGGATTGGCTGCTATTGAGGTTGCACAAAAGGTTTCAAAAGCATGGCGTTCCTTCCAAGCGGAGTGGAAATATTCTAATAATAAAAGCACCTTGAAGTTTGGTAAGAGAGGCCGGAGAAGGGAAAGAGTTAATTTGCCTAGCCAGAATAGAGGCGGTGCTGGTTGCAGTACAAGTAGCTCTTCAGAGACCTCAACTTCATATGGAATTACAGAATCTAATTCATCTGCACGGTCTATGATGTCATGGCATGAGGTTTATTCGATAGCTGTCAAATGGCGGCAGATTTCTGAACCGTGCGACCCTGTTGTGTGGATTAACAAGCTAAGGTATTCCATTTGATTGTTAAATGTGAATCATTTCTATGCTCAGTAGCCACTGGAGATCATTTTTGGATTGAATTTCATTCTGCTTTCCATTTTAATGGTTAAATAAGATAGTAAAATATTCTTCTATGTTGTCTTCTAATGTGAACCTGGATTTCTACCCAACTCAGTGAAGAGTTTAATGCTGGATTTGGATCTCATACACCATTGATCCTTGGACAAGCAAAAGTTGTTCGCTACTTCCCAAATTTTAAAAGGTGAAGGTCTATAATGGTTCCATTTGTATTGAACTGTTCAAATAATTGCCCTCCTTGAATGCTCATCACTTGTCAATGTGGCAGAACATTAGAAGTCACCAAGGCTATTATGAAGGAAAGATCATATGTGTATAATAAGGTCGATAACCTTATTGATTTATCCAGGGATGGGAAATTGCAAGATGTGAGTTCACCAATACGTTTTTTTATACTCTTGTAAATCTTATATTTTGATATGAAGGCTACTCTATCCTTTTCCTAAATGATATTTTCACTTTTAATTCATAATTTCTGTTAGCTTTCTTCTTCATGTATTACCCTCATTGAACAATCTTTTCTTTCCTATGTAAATAGTCATTCACTAGTATATTTATATTCATGCAGATTATGCAAGCAAAATCTTGCACTGATTTATACAGAGTGGTCGGTGAGGACTTCTGGTTGTCTACTTGGTGCGATAGTACTGCCTTTGAGGGGTAAGATTGCATATTGTTGAAATTGATGTTCTCACATTTTAATTCCATGTCACACCTAATTTCTGACTGGCTGCTTGTTTCAGGAGGCATCTTGAAGGGACAAGGATTACCCTAGTAAAAATGTAGCTTCTTGTCTTACAACTTTCTGTTTTTTCTTTCTATTTTTTTTTTTTACATCTTATTTACTTCTTTCCGTTTTTCAATTTCTGGATGCATCAACTGACTATTCCAGGGGGGAGAACAAATATGACTTTGCAATCAGAACACCTTGTATGCCTTCAAGGTGGGATGAATTTGATGCAGAAATGGCGAAGGCATGGGAAGTAAGTTACCCTACACCCTTCTATGCGAGCCATTATATTTTATTGTATTTCTATCCATACATTTGTATATTTGTTTCTGGGGATCCTTGATAAGAGCAATACATTTGTATATTTGTATGGGAAGAACAGATGCGCAATATGAGACATGAGAAGTGTGTCTTACCATCCCCTAGTTTGTATGTATAGCATCTCCGAAGCATTGTGTTGGCCAGTGAAATGTTTGTACCAGATCTTGCATAGAGTATATCTGAATTTGATTTTGCTAATCCTACATCCAATGGATTGCAACCTGAAACCTAGCCTGAGCCATGAAACAAAACATGCTCTGAAGTGTTATTCCTCTCTTACATGTCTGCAAACCTTGTGAACTCTCATTTTTCATATTGTTCAGAACTGATGCCTTCTCAGAATTACTGCAAATCCTTCTTGGATTATGCAGGACTCTTAATCCCGCATTCCTGATATACTTTTTTCTCATTTCAGACTGCTAACGCTAGGTTAATTAAATATGTAAGCAGAAATATGTGCTCGAGATATACCTTACATTTAGCCACCTTATATCATGCTTAAGCAGAACCTTAAGATGCAGTCCCACATTTTACTATTTCTTTCATGGTGAGTCTTGTGGATAGAATGGACTTTAGGCTGGTTTATTGGGCAGATTCTTTTTAGCTGGAGGTGCTAAAAAAACGATTTGTTTATAATAATGTTTGTCCTTCACTTGGAGTATCAACAATCCCTGTTGGCATAATTTATTTTTATTTCAAATCGTTTGATTGAACAAATTACTAATTTTGCAAGTATTGACTATGTATTGGCAGGCTATATGCAATGCTTATTGCGGTGAAAATTATGGATCTAATGAATTCACCGTGCTTGAAAATGTGAGAGATGCGATTTTAAGGATGACGTATTATTGGTATATCATTTAACCTTGTTGCATATATATGGCATGTTTGTCTTTCCAAAAATATATAGATCTAAATAAAGACTACATCCATACATAATATTCTTTCAGGTACAATTTTATGCCTCTTTCAAGAGGCTCTGCAGCTGTTGGGTTTGTTGTTATGCTCGGATTATTTCTTGCTGCTAATATGGAGTTCATAGGAAATATCCCACAAGGTTTACAGGTAGATTGGGAAGCCATTCTGAACTCTGATCCGGACTCGTTTGTTAATTCGATGAAGACTTGGTTGTATCCTTGTCTGAAGTCAACGACATCCTGGAAAGATCATCCTGATGTGCAATCAACTTTGGCCACAACCGGTTCAGTTGTTGCTGCTCTGAGCACTTACAATGACTGAGCTTCTAAAAGTCCTGAAGAGGTGAGTTCACTGCATCAGTAGGTCTAATGAGAATATGGTATAGCTCTCTGATTGCTCAAAACTAGGGCTCGTTTGGTTTCTAGGTTGAAAATGGTGGGATTGTAATATCATTCACTTATAACCTTCGATAATCAATACACCTTAAAGAGTTTATGAGTTACCCAATCCAATTCAGTCCAAGGAACCAAACGAGGCCTAATTTATTGTAGGGTCTTTAGATATTGGATATCCAAGTATTCAAATGAAGCTCCCACATGTAAAATACGCATCATATGATACAATGTTGTGACTTTCTGAATCTGAGTTGGTTGCAGCCAAATATTGTAAGCGGGAAGATTGTTTGTGGTATTTGTCGGAGGGAAACTGAGTCAATTTGAGGCAAGATTTCTGCAAATCTTACACCTGCTTGTATCATTGTAAACATGTTATGCATGCTGTATGTTTATTTGTTGTACAGGCTCCCTTGGATAATAAATTTGTAATTGTTATTTTCTGTGCTTCTTCATTTGTTATTGTTCATCACAATAAATTTGACCTGCAATTTTAATTCACAATACATACTTGTCATGTTATACATTTTCAATATTTCACTATCTTTTCCCTTTTTGGGACATTATTGTTTGCCACCGTACCTTTTCCCTTGTTTCCTTTGAGCTAACTACATCTTACACCATCGAGGTTTGGAGTCGGTGTCAACACGGGTCATGAGGTTCCAATTCTTTTCAACGGTAACGGCAGATGATTTTGTTGTTTGTATGGAGTTTTTCATATGTGAGACCCAATGTGAATGAACGAAACACACACATACATATATCAAATTGATTTGGGAAATGCTCTCAAATACCACTATTACGGTAGCAGTGTTCTCAAATAGTGCAGTGCTATACCATATCAATTAGCAATTAGTCCTATTATAACGCTATTGTATTGGTATATCGTATATCATAGTCATAGATAGTCTTTAATATCAATCGATTTAATACTGCAAAAAATTAGGCAAATTTAAAATTGTTAAAACATTTATTTGTAGTGAATAAAGTTGACGAGTATAGTTTTGCAAGTAAACATTAAAGTAACTATCATTAATTCAATTGTCATATGATTTCCGATTTAGGTAATTTTTATCAACATAATTTTTAGAGCACTTCTAAAAGATAAATGGTTCGGATCTTTGTAAATAGTTATGAAGTGGGATATACAAAATGTGTCAGAAAATGGGTTTTATCGTAAGCCATTAAAAATTCACTAATCTAATGTGGAGAAGCGGAGGACATGGAGCAACATTTGGTTTTTTTTTTGAATGCGAGTTCAGCCGTGTGTTGTGGTACTGCTGCTTTTCGCAGCTAGACATGAAGTCTGTCATGGGGTAGGATTTTCGTGAGTCTTGGCAAGGGTTATGTGCTTCATTTCGTGACAAAGATGGACAAGAGGAGCTTTTGCAGGAGTGTGTTTTTGTTATGCGGAGAATTTGGAAGAGTCGAAATGAGATGATGTTTAAAGGAGTGTTGACTAATCCCATAGAGGGGGTTAGCAAATTATTGAATTCAGAGCATGCCATAATTCTAAGAAGCAAGTTGTTGTTCGTTGTGAGGATGAGGATGAGGATGGAGCTATCTTTGCTGGACAATTAGTTTGATGGAGGCGGCCAAATTATAGTGTGCTTAAGATTAACTGTGACGGTGCATGGTGTGGGAAGACACTCAAAGGAGGATATGGGTGGGTTATGAGGGACTTTGCCGGATTGCTGCAAGCGGTAGGTGGGAAGGGAGGCCTATTTTTCAATAATGTGGCGATGGCAAAATCTGCTGCGATTTGTACGACGTTAATGGTATGCATTGAGATGGGTTGTGATGAAGTGGAGATTGAGTATGACTCTTAGGTGATAATTAGTATGCTTAATGGGGAGTATGTGGTAGATGCTACTTTGGAGTGTTTTTTATCCATGATATTGGTCATTTGGTGTCTCAATTAGGAGGGGTGAGGTTTGTGTTTATCAAGCGAAATGGAAATGCCGTTGCTCATGCTATAGCCTCATACGTTGCCTCATATAGAGATGCTTTCCGTTGGGATGTTTTTGGTCCAGAGTTTTTATTTAATATTCTTGCTGAAGATGTAAACGTTTCTATTAAAATTTAATAAAAGTTATCATTTGACAAAAAAAAAAAAAACAATTGTGCATCCATAAAATTATTTATCCTTTGCTAACGTAAGAGTGCAATTAGTTTTAGGTATGATCCTTTAAAACGACATCTGATTGGGTTTTGAAGGACTTTTGTTACTAGAAGGTTTTATAATGGTTAATTACAATATCAAGTGTAAGAAAGTACACCTTATCAAAAAAGTTGGCAGATCTGTAAGAAAGTGGAGGAAAAAAAAGAAAACAATGTGAAAATTCATAACCATGAAAATTTAATGAGTGTGAGTGTGCGGCAGCATGAAGAGATGATTGTAATTGCACAAATTGATACAAATTACAACATTTATAAATGATGAGCAGATTATGCAACTCAAATCCCCGTGGAAACTCTAAATATTTATCAAAATAATATGCCAAAGAAATTAATTCATATGATTAGTACCATGCCAATGAAAAATCTGAATTTGTAACAAAGTTAAAGAAACCAAGATCTATGATATGCATATGAAAATGCAAAATTTTATATAATGCTCTAGAGTATCGATAATTCGGTCTCTTTAATTGTTGGATTTTTTTATTAAAAAATATAAAAAAGAAATAAAAATTTTATCTGTTAAAAAATTTAGGGTAAAAGACTGTTTACTACCCTCATGTTTCATGGTTTTCAACATTTAGTACATCAAGTTTTTTTCGTCTCAGAGTCATACCTAAAGTGTAAATTTTGGGACAATCTCATACATCCGTTAGTCAAACTGTTAAATTTGCCGTTAATTGTGACGTGGCGCCCATGTGGACAATGACTGGGCGCCACGTGTCAGCCACGTTTTTTTTTTTTTTTTTTTTTCTTCTTTTCTTCTTCTTCTTCTTCTTCTTCCACCCGACTGCAACATTTTTTTTTCCTTCCTCCTTCTCCTTCCTTCCCCTTCTTCTCCTTCTTCCTTCTCTTCCTCTGAATCTGGGGAAGTTTTTTTTTTCTTCCTCCTTCTTCCTCCTTCTTCCTTCCTCTTCCTCTTCTTCTTCTTCTTCCTCCGAATCTGCCCAGATTTGGTTTTTTTTTTTTTTTTTTTTTTTTTTTTTTGAGGAAGATGAAGAGGAAGGAGGAAGGAAGAAGGAAGAAGAAGAAGAAGGAGGAAGGAAAAAAAGAAAAGAAAAAAAGTTGCAGTCGGAGGAAGAAGAAGAAGAAAGAAGAAAGAAGAAAAAAAAAAAAATTTCCCAAATTCAGAGGAAGAAGAAGAAGAAGAAGAAGAAGAAAAAGAAGAAGAAGGAGAAGAAGGGGAAGGAAGAAGGAAGAAGGAAGGAGGAAGAAGAAGAAAGAAGGAAAAAAAAAAAAAAAAGAATCTGGGCAGATTCGGGGGAAGAAGAAGAAGAAGGAATAAGGAGGAAGGAGAAGGAAGCAGGAAAAAAAAAAATTCCCCAGATTCGGAGGAAGAAAAAGGAGAAGGAGAAGGAGAAGGAAGAAGAAGGAAGAAGGAGAAGAAGGGGAAGGAAGAAGGAGGAAGGAAGGAGGAGGAAGAAAAAAAAAAAGTTTGCAGTCGGGTGGAAGAAGAAGAAGAAGAAGAAAGAAGAAAGAGAAAAAAAAAAAAATTCCCCAGATTCGGAGGAAGAAAAAGGAGAAGGAAGAAGAAGGAAGAAGGAGAAGAAGGGGAAGGAAGAAGGAGGAAGGAAGAAGGAGAAGGAGGAAGAAAAAAAAAAAGTTTGCAGTCGGGTGGAAGAAGAAGAAGAAGAAAGAAGAAAGAAGAAAGAAGAAGAAGAAAGAGAAAAAAAAAAAAATTCCTTAGATTCGGAGGAAGAAAAAGGAGAAGGAGAAGGAAGAAAGAGAAGGAAGAAGAAAAAAAAAAAAAAGTTTGCAGTCGGGTGGAAGAAGAAGAAGAAGAAAGAAGAAAGAAAGAAAAAAAAAAAAAAAAACGTGTCACAAAAAAAAACGTGGCTGACACGTGGCGCCACGTCATTGTCCACATGGACGCCACGTCACAATTAACGGCATATTTAACAGTTTGACTAATGGATGTATGAGACTGTCCCAAAATTTACACTTTAGGTATGACTCTGAGACGAAAAAAACTTGATGTACTAAATGTTGAAAACCATGAAACATGAGGGTATTAAACAGTCTTTTACCCAAAAATTTAAACCATCCTTTATTCCGAAACACCACCAAACTTTTTATGAGAATGATTGAAATTGAAAGTTTGTAATTGTCAGTGTTTGAAGCACGAAAATGTTGCTCCCAAAAAAAAAAAAAAAAAAAAGGGAATAGAATTCATGGTTTCTCTGAAAAACCTAATTGTCATACCCACAATCCTTAAAAAGGTTAGGAAAACTAATGAAAAGGGCTTGAAAACTTTGAGTTTTAATGATAAGGACAAAATAAAGAGTAAAATGAATAGTACCAGGATTGACTTTTTAGTGTAAAAATGTGGTTTTTCGTTAAAGTGAACAATACCGAGAGCTTTTCGTTAAACTTCCCAAAAAGGTTTGGCCCCCCCCCCCCCCCCCGCATCCCAAAATTTGAGATAATAAGGGCATTATGGTCAATACACATAACACACTACCAGTAGACTGTAGACATAAAGACAAAACTGTCCTTAAATCCTGAAGCAGAAGCTGCTAGACAATAGAGAGATTTTTAGTTGTGACGGGAACACGGATAGTACACTACGTGTTTTTATGTAAGTGGTGAAAAATTTAAAATTTTAGGTAATTAACCTTTTGACACACATATCCCACCATTTATATAGGAACACGTGATGTATCATCTCGTGTGACGGTCACACTGAAAAATCTCTATAGAGAATGTCTGTTTTTTTTTTTTTCAAGTTGCAGAAGTTTATTGATTTTGTCTTCTTACCCTTACCCTATTTTCAATCTTCCCACTCTATCACTAAGATTTATATCCTTTTTTCTTCTTTCCCTTTCTACCTTTCTCCATCTTTTTTCATCAAATGTTTCTTCTACAATGGTAGGTCTGCCTGCAAGACAAATGAATGTGATTAAGCACAAGGGGGAGCACAATGTAATGGAAAGTAAAACATTACCAGTGGGTTTATGAAAAGAGTAATATTGCATTTACAATGTATTAGGTATTGTAAAGTGATATAGTGTCAGTATTATCGAATATCAAAATCAAGCAATTACTATAAATTGGTACATAGTTTTCCTAAACAAGAAAAGAGTAATTCTGCATCGACCATGTATTAGATAATGTAAATTAATAAAATGTTATTACTAGATCTCAACAACCTATAGATTGATATCGACTTTCTCATATAAGTAAACGGTAATGTTGCCTCAACAATGTGCTATATTGTAAAGTGATACATTGTCATATTACTACATATCGACAACCTAGCTAATATTGTAGATTGGTGTCAGGATTTTCCTCGTAAGAATAAGAGTAATGTTATGACGACAATGTACTAGATACTGGAAAGTGATACATTGTTGGTATTACCACATATAAACAACCTAGCCGTTTGTAGATTGGTGTCAGAATTTTCTTAGTAAGAATCAGAGTAATGTTGCAACGGCAACGTACTATATACTGATGAAAATTGATACAATGTCAAAATTACTAGATATTGACAACCTAGTAGTTAATGTTAATTGGTACTTGACTATCCCAAATAAGAAAATGATAATGCTTTCTTTGATAATGTAATAAATATTGTAAAGTAAATATTATTACCCGCCACTCTAGCAGTGCTTTACCAAATAAGAAAAGAAGAATGTTTCATCGACAATATGTTAGATACTACTCTAAACTCTAAAGTGATACATTATTGGTATTACTTAATATAAAAATGTAGCAATTACAAAAATAAGAAAAGAGCAACGTTGCAAATCAAGATTAATAGACTGTGCTTACTTAAGAGGACTCACAACGCTCATGGAGTTCTAATAAATCTTCATGCATGTTAAACGTCCTGGACGTGGCAGGAGCAAATAACCAGGTTCTGTTCATCTGCTTGATATACATATGCGCCGCGTAGCTCGGGATTTTTTCAGTTTTGGGTTCCTTAGACTTCAATCGTTCATTAACAAACGCTAAGCAGTCTATCAAGCTCTCTTTGGCCAACCCTTTCATGTCATAAGCCTGTGATCTTCTCCACAGGCTCTTACCATGAGGACTCATTGAGCTAGATAAGCACAGAGCTCTGGTTGTGTCACTAATGACAGCATCAGGCTTCTTCAACAGCAAGAAACACTGAGCTCTATTGCTATGCAGCACGATCCTCTCGTTTCGTATCTTCAGTGGGCACAAATCCATGGCCTCTGAGTACTCCAGCACAGCTTTTTCAAGGTTCCCTGACTGAAAGCTTTCATTCCCTCGTTGCTTCAGCTCCTTCACCATTGATTTTTTCTTTCTAACTTCTTGTTCAAACATTAGTCTCTCTCTCCTCTTTCTGTCAACCTTCAAATCCCATATCTCCTCCAATGCTATCTCAGCGTTTTTGCTCTCCACTTTCAAATTTCCATACTTTATTTTATGATAATCTATTAAGAGCGTCTGCGCAATTGTGTCTCCTACTTTCGGTCTTCCTCCACAGCTTCTAAGCTCAACCAGATCAACAAGAAACACAACTGATTTCTCCATGACTTTGTATCTTGTTTCGGGGTCTTTGAGAAGAAGCAAGAGGGAATCAATGGCCATGATCTGCCAATCATCTGATGACCTCGACAGATTGCAGAGTGCCCCCACAACTTCTTCTGAATTCGCTACACTTTGTCTACCAAATTTGGTTTGACAAAGTGTTCTCAACAACCCAATTCCAGCAGGTGAGGTTTGATTTTCCAAACCACCCCACATTACACACAATTTAACCAAGAATTCCTTCTTGCAGATTAAATTTAGAGACTTTTCTCTGCGTGCAAAGGAGTGGAGAAGGCTGAGAGACCAGCACTGAAGCTGGCTCGCCCACTCTTCCGCCTTTCGGTTCTCAATCTCCAACCCTCCGTCAACCCCACTTGTAACCAAATTGCAATGGTACTTCAATCTTTCTGTACGTTCCAACCCAGCAAACTTATCGTAAACCTCTTTTGGGCCAGTCAAGGCTATCTCCATGGCTAATTCTACAATCTCAAACTCATTTGCAGAAAAGGCTTCTTCAAACACCTTGTCATGTCCAGCTATATGAACAAGAGCACGAACCGCTACCCGCTGCTCCACCCATGTGATCTCACCTCTCATCAGTTCTAATAAAGGCAAAACCACCCCGGATTTTACAGCCTCCTCAGCAAATTCAACTATGTTCATGGCATATGACCCGATGATATGAGCAGCATAGTAAGGAATATAAATGTTCTGATCAGTCAGCAGCCACTCCTTGTCATTGAGTCCTTTGTGAATAAGCTTTGCCATGCATTCAAATATTCCAAGAGATGGAAATTCAGGGTCATTAGGGTTTTCCATGGCTATGTTCCACAGGCTGCTTAGTACAAGGACATGCTCTTGGTCATGGCTGAAAGGCAAATCTAACAAGGCTCTGATGATTTTCACTTTTTGGTTAGATGGGTCCGGCTCTTTCGTGCTGCAGAAGAAACAAGAGGGTTTTGTGCACTCTGGATCACAGGTTTTGGTGGTGGTGTTTTGAGATTGTGAGTTCATGGTTTTGTGAAGAGAAGTTGGAGTTTTATTGGGGTTTTGAGGCTTATAAAAAATTAATAATTTATGCTTAGTTTGGTAGAGAGTTTTGGTTGCAAAAGAATGAACTTAGATGAATATGACACCACCAAGAGCAAAAGTGCAAAAATAGTCAATGTAAATGAAGAAACTCAACTTACTCTGTAAGAATTGGTTCACATGATTGCCTCTAACATCAAATTCAAGCACCATGAGTTTGAGAAACATATGAGATTTCATCCTATACTCTTTTTATGAGCGTTTTAAATATTGATTTTTGAGTGTCTTTATAACAGACTGAGAGTGAACAACGGTTGCCTAGATTCTCAATCTTTATTGTCTTATTAGAAGGAAAGACGATTCCAATTATTTTGTCCTTTGCATCAAGTCACGTTTTTCTTCATGAGAGGTGTGTTTGTATGGCATTTGCCTTCTTCTCTTTCAATTTTTGAATTTGTTGGTGGAGGAGGGGGTGCCTCTCCAGTCTCCATGTGAGAAATTTGCTAAAGCAAGAGAGACTACTTAACGGATTAGCAACTCACTTTGTCATGTTTCTACAGGCAAATGGCCAAACAATTCTTAGCATTTTATGGGAAGTTGTTAGTAATTAATAGGATAGCTGCATGTTAAGCATTTCTCGGGTTGGTTTTAACTATACCAAGTGTCTTTTGCTAAATGGAGACAAAGTACTACGATCTCACTTGGGATTATCTAAATAATTGATGATAGGATTTTTACCACTTGTAAAAATAGGGATAAAAATACTTAAAATACTTACAAGAGTATAAGGTAATTGTAGTATAGTAGATCAAGCAAGGTTGTTCCACATGGATTGAATGAATAATTTACGTTAAAACCAAATCTTAATTAATTATTTGAAAACAAAGTTTGGAAGAGGTTGATTTTATGACCTAAAATATTAAAAATGAATTTAATTAAAAATAATTAAATAAATTGACAAAGTAAAGAGAACAAAAGAAAATAGTTTTAAAAATCTATTTAAGCACTAAGGTTCCACCGTCACCTTAATAATCCTATGTAATTCTTCCAATTACTTATGAATTACCCATGCATATTTTGAAGGTTAGGTTTTCCTAAAGTATGCCCTACTTGGAACCTCCAACATAAAACGTATATCTAAAATGCAACCCGTTCGTGGCGTCCAAATCAAATGTGAACATGCAAGACTCATTAAGTTTTGTGAAATCCTTTTGAAAAACCATATAACCCTTAAAACGTGTCGTCCATCCTAAGAAATTACACATATTGACCACAAGAAGCCTTAGTTAATTCTAGGGACAACCCTGCGCCAAAATTGCATCGAATTACTTTTCTAAATATCCTAATGGTGGCCAATCATCAAGACAATTAGATAGTTTAAACCGATGATTAATAATTCAAAACTTGCATGCATGATATCATAAGTAAATTGAAAAGAAACTACATATTCTTGCTAAGACTCATGGCCTCGCCCTAGCAAACGCAACTAGTTACTAACAATCATAAAATAAAATATTATTAAGAACATAGATAGAAAACACCTTGAAAATAAACTTGAATCGTCAAAAACTCTCCAAGCCTAGCAAAGTATTGATGCATTCTCCTTTCTAACGGCTAAATAACCTTTTTTATACTACTACAAAATAAAATCCTACCTAGAAAAGGTCTTCTAAAAACTAGGAAACATAATAGAATAAGATAACTAGGAAATAAAAGGTTTCCTATTTAAATTGAAATTCGAACTTCTCAGAAAATCAGACCTTTGACCAAACAAATCAACTCCGATTTGGTCCCAGAATGTCTCTTTTGAAAGCTGAAGATGTCCCCTACAAATCCTCAGAAAAAATCGTCCTCAAAATATGCCATATTGACCTCCAAAGTGCCCAAAACGTCCAAAAACGTCAATCTGGAAAACTGCGCGCTGAGTCTTTATTTCATTGCCACAGTCAAACAGCTTGGTAGAAAACTCTGAAATTTTGACACAATCATCTTGAAACACTCACGAACATCCTCCAATTAAAATCACTCCAAAATTCATCCGTTTGATCACTTTTTGCTCCAGAGGAAGTCGAATGTCCTACATTCAAAATACATAACAAAGTATCAAAGTTCTACCAAAATAACCATTAAACTATAACTAGGAATAGGGTAAAATATATGGTATAATATGGATTCATCAAATACCCCCAAACTTAGCTTGTTGCTTGTCCTCAAGAAAAAAATAAAAACTAGCAAACTAGAAACTTAAACAAAAATTAACTAAGACAAAATTTTCACCTTCAAGTTGTCATCCATAGAAAACATTAAAAATCAGAACATTTTTCAAAAGTTCCAACTAATCCCACTATAGAGTCTAAGCCATTTATAATCAATTAGAAAAGAATTCATGAACTTCCTTTGGTGTAAAGTGAACCAATATGGCTAAGGAGACTTGATTAAAATCCTATGTTTCGTCCTTTTTATTCCACACTTCACATGTGACAACCCGTTCCTGATTTTATGTTTTTACAAATTTTAAAAGCGTTATTTTACGAAAATTCCCTTAGAGGCGAGGGTCTTGACTTTCGCTGATCAATGTATAGTGAGGTGTATGAATTAATCCTTTAGCGTATTCCTAAAGTTTACGATGATACGAACGTGTAGACGCAAGCGGAGGTGAATTTGGAGCTACGGTTAAAGAGTTGCGGAGTTACGAATCCGAAGGTATTTTGAGGAAATCACTATTTTTAATTATATTATTTATATTATTAAATGGTTAAGCCACATGTGTGTGGCTGAGTTGGGAAAAGAAAGGAAAAGAAATAAGGGATTGAAGGCTAACCAATCAAATATAGAAGAGAAAGAAGGAAAGGTTTCAAGAGAGAAGTGGGGGAAGGTGTGGCGAATCAGGGAAGGAGAGAAGGAGAAGATGCCCAATTGGGAAGAGAGAAGAGAGGGCCAAGGAGAGAGTGAGAGAACAGGGGATTAGAGACCTTTTCTCTTCAACCCATTTCAGTTCCACGACTCGATTACAGACCCGGTTCCGCTTCTCTTCTCCTGCAGTTTTCGTCGGTTTTTCCGACGATTTGTAGCCATACATCACCATGAACCAACTCAGAGACCTCCCATCTCCATTTTTCTACCAAACCTAACTTAATTTGTCCAGAAATTGGGAAGACTACTACGTATGGTGGCGCCGAGGGTCTAATGGCAGTGATCTGCCATTCTGGAAGCAAACTCCGTCGACCACTACCATGGGTCAACTTCTCTTAAACCTAGGAGCAAGTCCCAAGCTTTGGTTGGAGTGGCGGAGCACCGGAGAAGTCGAATCGAAGGCCACCTAACTTAGGGTTTTTGACGGGTTTTAGTAAAATTGGAGCTTTTCCCGACCAAATTAGACTTGGCCGTAGGTGTAAAGTTTACTCTACTCATTAAGATCTTCATTCCTCTAAATTTTGGTAATTGTTTGAAATAATTGGATTTTCCGGCGAGTCGGGGCTGCCGACCACCACCCACAGCGGCGCGTGGCCAAGGGGCCGTCGATGTTATTCTTAGGCTCAATTAGATGCCTTGAGCTCAGTTTTGGTAATTGTATGACGTAGGTTGATTTTTGGAACCTAAATTCTCTACGTTACGTTAATAGGTCATTATATTAATCGACGATCCGACCGTTGGAACGTCACCAAACTTTAATATGTTATAGTATGTAATATTTGAGGACCATAGGAACTTACGGATCGGGAATCGGATATACAGATCTTCCCAAATTGGATTTGTAAGTCATTAAATAAAATATTAACCGCCACTTGGTTTTAGCAATTGGCGGAGATTCGACCGTTAGATCGTAATGGAACTTTAGGATGTTGTTCTAGAAGTATATTGTGGATCTTTGGAAGTAAAGCATCGGAAATCCGTAATGCGGATCTTCCAAATCGAACTACGTAGGGATGTGTGTTATGTAAGTTACATATTTTATTGCTAAGAATTTTGAGTTGTGATTTGATAATTGTTCTAGGCGCCAATCGTTCGTGATACCTCTATGGTTATGCTAGGGAGTTGTAGCGTGAACTCTAGGTAAGTGGACTTTTGTTTTCAGTATATATATGTATGCTTGGTATTTTTCCCAAAAAATGCGTTTAAATGGAATTATGTTTTGAAATGCCATGCCTCATGATTTATACTGAAATTATGAGTTAGTATAGTATGCATATTGTGATTTGACGTTGTGGACGCTCAGGTAAGTATCAGGTAAGTTATCGATTGTTAATGTGAGTTGATGAGGATGTTGAGATGCATTGAGAGCTCCTAAACCCGCATCTCGGTGTTAGTGCTCCCGCCCGTGGCTAGGGCACAGGCCTTCACGTGATGTTCACCTCCCGTACCGCACACTCACCTTGGATCCAAGTTAGGTGCACAAACTTATCATACAGACCACTATAGATGGTTCCGACTCGTAGGTGACCTGCGATTATTCGCACAGTCTTCAAGTGATCGTAGCACTTGAGCGTATTTATTTACACCCAGGCCTGTCATACAGACCATTATAGGTGGTTTCGACTTATGTGCAGGTATACTTGATGAGCTTAGGTTCAACCGTACAAGCCACAATTGGTGGATCCAGCTAACATATTACTTTCATTGATTTACTTCACCTGGTTTACTCGTTATTGATGCTGAGATATTTGGCATGGCATATATGTGGATTTTGCTATTTCGAGTATGGTTTTGATATATGTATATATTATATTTCTGGGAAATTATACAGGTTTTACAGCGAGGGGTTACTACCTTTAATAATTGAAATTGTTTTTGAAAAGCTTTGTTTTTGCCCACTCACGCTTTCTGTTTTGCGCCTCTCCAGGTTTAATTTGCTGAAAGTTCGTAACGACGAGGATTCTTGGCAAATCTCAAGATAGGTGGTTACTCTTAAAGGTATAATCTTTATCCACTCTACTGTACTTATGCTCTAATGTCACTTGTGAAGCGGGTTCATTCCCGCTCACCAG